GAGAAATTTTCAGTTGTCGCGCAATTGCTTTAATGATATGATTGGACTAACTGAAGTCAAATTTAATGTCAAAAACGGACTCCCCCCCCCCACAAATTTTGACCTAGCAAAATATACATTTGTTAACAACCCAGTCTCTCCAATGCTGGTGTTGTCGCTTTTTATATTAAAGGAAATACTCGCTTTCCCCTTCGACCTGATCTATAATAATAATAATAATAATAATAACAATAACAACATGTCCCTCTGGTTCAAGTAACTAGGAAAGAACAGAAACTCAGTTTAAAGCCATGGATCACAAAAGGACTCAAAGTGTCAATAGCAATTTAGAACCAGCTTTTTCGTAAATACCTTAAAAACAAAAGCGAGTATCATCACTTGAAATATAAACAGTACCGAAATAAACTAAATCACCAGCAAGGAAACTGTAAAAAACTGTACCAATAATGTAAAAGCAACCTGGCATGGTATCAAAGAACTCATTTCACTGAAACCCAAAAGCAATTTAATTCTACAAAAAACCTTATATGAAAACCAAACTTTAACCGACCTTAAAGACATTGCTAATGCTTTTAACAAATATTTTGCCTCTGTTGGCACCAAACTTGCTTCCTCTATTCTTCCAGCAGAGTATCCTTTTACTCACTCTTCTTATTTTTTAATGAAATTTCACAACAAGAAATTTCTGAAGAAATCATGAAAATAAACGAGAAAAAAGCCTAAGTCCCCTTTAGCATCCCAATAAAAATTCTAAAGATATTAAATTCTAGCATTTCCAAACCCCAATGTCTTTAACTACTGATAAAGTTTTTAACAAATTTAAAATTGCTAAAGTTATTCCTATCTTAAAAAAGAGTCACATAATGTTTTCCTATTATCGCCCTATCTCACTCTTGCCAATTTTCAACCAACTCTTAGAAAAACTTGTTAAAAAGCGCACTGTCTCTTTCCTAGATAAACACAGCATTCTCTGTAATAACCAATTTGGTTTTCGCTATAAGCACTCTACCCTCCACTCTTTGTTAGCTATAACTGGCAAGATTCAAAAATCCATTGACAATTATCTTTTCGCATGTGCATGGTATTTTCCTGGACCTCTGCAAAACCTTCGACATGTTAACCACGAGATCCTTTTATCTAAACCTGAACATTGTGGTATTCGAGGTACCATACTAAGCTGGTTCAATTCAATTTTTATCTCAGTAATAGGCAACAATTTGTCACTGTTGGCTCCATTAACTCTGATAGTAAACCTGTACTTTGTGGTGTCCCACACAGCTCCATATTAGGGCGACTTCTTTTCTTGATCTATATCAATGACTTTACTAAATGTTCTAAAATTCTCCAATTTGAAAATTTTTGCTGATGATACACATTTTATTTCACTCTGATTAAAGTATATCTCAGCTTACTTCAACTGTCAACAATGAGCTCACCTCAATCAGCTCTTGATCTGGTAAAAAAGGTCAAATATCTTGGAATATCTCTAGATGAAAACATCAACTGGATATCACATGTTCTCGAAATTACTAAGAAATTGAACAAGAGTGTTGGTATTCTTTGCAAACTCGATCCGTCATTACATAAACCTCAAATCCTTAACTCAATTATACTGTTCACTTATCTATCCACATCTAACCTATGCTATTCTCGTCTGGGGAAGTACTTACCAAACAACAATTAACCCCCTACATGTCCTTATATAAAAAGCTCTGAGAATTATGACCTTCTCCACTTTTAATGCTCATTCTTCTCCACTCTACAAGCAACTACAAGTTATTAAGCTGCCAGAACTGAACCTTCATACTGCCATATTTATGCATAATTATCACTTTAATAATCTACCATGTATTTTCAAAGACTTCTTCAAAGCTAATCTCAACAATCCATGGTTATAATACCAGACTAGCTTCTAAAGGTTCCCTATAATTAAACCCAGTGAGGACCAATTATGGTATCTTTAATATAAGATTTAATGAAGCCAAAATATGGAATTAATTTGACCTACACACTAAAAATCTCCACAGGAAAAAAATTATCGACAAATTGAAAATGAACTTCCTAGGCACTTATTGAAAGCTCCTTATATATAATGTTTCTTTGCCTTCTCCTTGTTCTCTTTGACTGTAGCCACATGTTTCTCCCTATTTGTCTTTTTTGTCTAAATTCGCTATTTGATTCAATACATTTTTTCCATTTAGATCTAATAATTTCTATTAAAAAAGAGAGATTAATTACTATTATCCTTTGTTTTCTTCTATTATAGTATATCAATCGTTCTCTCTTCCCTGATCTAAAAATTTGAAACTATCAATTTTTGTTTGTGGCCTAGCTAGTTTAGCTTTTTAGTTATTCTAGGCCACTATGTACCTTAGCTTGTTTATTCCTTCAATTAAATCTTTGTATCTCTATATATCTATATATTTATATTTTTTTGTGCCCACATGTGAATGTCTTCTATCTTTTGTACCACACATTTCGCTTGTAAATATCAAATCACTACTGTAATCTTCAAATATATATTTCTACACTTTTTTAAATATTTGGGTACTAAAAAAAAACTATGTATGTATGCGAACAACGGGTGAGTTTTCTGATACGCATTGAGTGCAAAAAACCGTACAAGCCTTTTCCATTCTGTAATTTGTTAATTTGTTTATCTCATAGATACTGAGATTTCAAAGATCAAAACTTCTAAGAATCAAACTAATATAGTTGTCGGTCTACAGGACGGGCGACCATATTGACTGATAAGCTTATTGGCTAAAAACGAACAATCAAAAACTAGGACACTGCTGTACTAAAAAAAGGGTTTTAATAAATAAACTGAATTTATTTTGTTTTATATTACATATAGTTTACAAATTCAAGTCAGAAACTTTGACAATTGAAATAAATCTGGTTTTTTTTTAAAGACACAAAACAGCATGCATGTTTACAGAATGAGATATAAAAATCTCGAAAGGTTTAAGTAAACTGACAATTTGAACTAAAAAATGCATACTATGGCTACCTTAGTGATAGAAATTACTCATCATCAGAGTCACTTTAAATTCTTATCCTTTTCCGCTGCTTTGGAGGGTTTTCGTAGTGCGGAGTAAGTGGTGGTGACTGATTTACAGCGTTTATATTGTAACTGAAAATTGTCCTTCACGAACTAGACATTTCCGATTTAGCGGCATAGGAAAAGTATATTCCGCATTCTATAATCCGACCGGAAAAGCATAAATCAAAAAGAGCTATCATTATTTTATTCAAGATTTAATCAATAGAATTTTCAAAACTCCTTATCTTACTGTTTTCTCAGCTAGTACAATGTATTATTAGGTAAATAACAACTGCGAAAGAAAGTTTGTAACTATTGTTACTGACGTTACTTCTTCGTCTTTCTACTGTCACAGTCCTTAATAGTCAATCCTCTTACTACGAATGACTAATGTCCCAAACGTCATATACTTATGAACTTTCTTATACATCTGTTGTATTCAACGCACCAAAACAGTCACAACTGACTAGTATCAACATATCTTGAGATTTGTTTACAGTTAAAGCTAGGAATTTTTCTGCTCTCACTAATATAAACATGTGTTACGCCACTTTGTTTTACTTTTCTGAAAAGCATATCAAAAGAACATATATAACATTACAGTGTTTTTAGAAAATATT